TCTCTCTCTCTCTCTCTCTCTCTCTCTCTCTCTCTCTCTCTCGAATTTGCTGAATTTGTAGTTTCTAGGAAGCACAACTGTAAACATTCTGTATATACATTTTAGCAGATCATTTATCATGATCCAAATAGACTTTAATATCTGATTCTCATATCTCTGTTAATTACTTTTGATTTTAATTTTTGATATTTTTAATAAATCTATAAAACTAAATCTATAAATGTAATATCTTTTATACTCGAGATCAGAATAAGACGGCGATATTTTAAATAACACACGCTCGAAGCATATGATTTTGTCAATTGATTTATTTGCACGACAATAACAAATAGCTATCATTACCTATTCACCAAATTAAGAAATGGTCGAGAGTCTCAAATTACTCACATAAATTCGAAAAATTCCGCGGATAAACACACAATACATACGTTCTAATTTGTATAGCGACAGTGATATATAAGCATGTCCTGAGAACAAGATGTCATAAATATAAAACAGTCTATTTAACTCTAATTAAAAAATTAAATTATCGAAATACACAACGTTGAATCAAGCTGTCTCTTTTTTCTCGTGAATAAATAGTATTAGATCCAATTTTATAGTACGCGTTTAATATATTAAACACATTAAATAAATCAATGAGATTCATACAATAAACATGAGCAAACTTTCCTTGACAATTACAATTTCGGATATTATAATTTGTAATGAATACCGAATTTGTAATTATAATTTTTTTATAATTATCATCTCCATGTTAAAATTCTGTAACAGTAATTCGAAGCGATATAAATATGTCAAATAAATTATTTAATATGAAATAAAGTGTCAACGTTTAACAAATGCGTTGGAATCAAGGAATAGAAATTTTAATACGATCGTAGCATAACATTCGATGGAAAGCGTATTTTACGTAATTTTGCCAAAGCGTCGAGTTCATCTGAGTCCTTTCTTGCATCGAAGACGATCGTTAAGGAACAATTTTCTCTCAAAAACTTATAGCGTTTATGCACGAATATTTCCAATCATACCGTAGCGTAACACGCTCATTCATACATCATCGATTATTTCCATTTGCAGCGGCTTTTTATCGTATTTTATATATATTCCGTATGCGCGAGGCGTGCGCGGTTCTCTTTCTCCTCATAACATAATAATAGATTTTAACATGCGTCTTTCTGTCTCTATGTTAAAATCAAAATTATTTCTTTAACAATAACATACACATTTTTTCTTTTTTTTCTTTTTTTTTGGCAAGTACAACGTATTGTCTTGTAAAACATGATAAAGCAAATGTAATCGGCCGCTTGGATGGAAGCCTTTCAAATTAAATAATCGCTAAATATTCTCACGAATATATCCAGTTTTCGTTACCCTGTCTTCGTCTTGAATCGCACGTTACAGCGTATTTTAGCGTCAACGAAAAGCTTCTGGTTTTTCTCTTCCGCTTTTTGCCACGTTTCCCGTTCATTGCTATCGGATTTGTCTTTACACATCTTTCAAATACGTTGCGATGCTTTCTCTTTTCGAAGTACGATTCTCCGTCGTTTATTGTATCCGTCTAAATCTTTGCAAGATGCGCTTATAGACAATACAGATGACATTCATAATTCAAAAAGAATATTCAATAATAAATATGAAAATTAATTCAATTGAGGGCTACTTAATTACATAAAGGCAATTTAAACAATTTAATAACAATAAATAATGGAACGGATATGTAAATGGAGGAACGACGACTTAGTAACAGTCCTTAATAAACAATCGAAACAACAAGTGTACAATTTATATAAATCACATCGTCGCGTAGAAAGACTCTCGAACTTGTGCAGTTTACTTTATCGATCGTTTATTCATACTGGCTGCATAGAATGTTCGACGAGACGGCAGATAGATTCGTTTCTTTTTTTTTTCTTTTCTTTTCTCTTCCTTCCCTCGGAGGAGAATCAAACGAGTCAGCGTGGAAAATGGAAAGAAATACACCCGACTAACAATGGTTTACAATGGTCCATGGTTCTACGTCTAGTAAGGATGATTCAAGAAGGTCAAAAAGCGTCGTCGAGATCATTACAAAAGGTAAATTGGCTAATCTTAGCTGCCCGCCGTGCTGCATCGCAGCTGGATGTTCCCCTGCAAAGCGAAAGATTAATACTCCCTTTTTTTTTTTTCTTTTCCTCCGCCAACGTTTCACGGGGTAATATTTATTTTCTCGCAATATACTCGGATAATCGGGGCTGAATAGAGGCATAAGGATCGCCATTAGGTGCATTAAGCCGCCGTACAGACGTTATAACGGCGTAACAGCAGGTGCGCTATAAGATTAAGAAGTATACATACCATTAAGTACGTGAACTAGGACTGTCTTTGTGTTAGCATTACTGGGATGGCAGGTGTATTGTCCGCTATCCGCCGGTTGAGCATGTTGAATTAAAAGGTATGACGTCGTTATCTCGCCCTTCTCCGTGATAACCGATACCCCGCCTCTCGGACTGTCATAATTGATCACCTGTCACGTGCAGGTCCCGGAAAAATGTTATTCTAATTAAATTTCTTCCTATAACGCTCATATAATAGTGTTCGACAAACCGACCAAGGGATCAATTAATTGGGTGATTAATTAATCCCCCGTTGAAAAAAAAAAAGGAAACTCGGCAGCGGACATCGGTGATCGGTGATGCTTCTCGTACGGGGGAGGGGGGAGGCGGGGGAGGGAGAAAAATCGCTGTAATAAAGTGGTTGGATTTCTTTTTTCTCTTTCTCTTTTATCTTTTCGTCTTGGACACGGATGCGAGAGACGTGAGATAAATCTTTCGTCATTCTCTGCAAAAGCTTGATGGAATTAATCCAACGTCTCGACAGCGTCGTAGATGCACCGGAGGGGGTAAGATTGATTCATAATTCGCATTTTGTCGAGTAATTAGAGAGAAATCTTTATTCATTTATTTAATTAAATGTGTTATGCTCTTTCACGCCTGCCCACAGGTGCGCATTATTCGTGTTTATATTTATCGTACGCATTCCGCATACGGGAATTAAAAATTGCGTGACTCTCCCTCGCTCCGCGACTCGATCGCGTTTCCCGGTTTGTAAACTGATGGAAATATAGTTTTGAAAACTTTGGTAAAACTGATATAGCAGTTATCAGTTTATGTCCGTATTTTGTTGAAACTCATAATGTTTCAAAGCTGAAACTTACAGCACTACCAAAATAAACGAATCGTATGTCACTGTTGCAGAATGGATTTCAAAAACTTTTCCGAGACGGCACGGACGAGAAGTACTATAAATCCAAAAACACAACTGCCGCACTCGACATTTTGTCTGTTTTATATTAAATGTTGTTTTTATTATTTTCTTTCTCAGCGCATTTCGCATCGAGTACCAATTTTTACGTTTTCGACAATATTTTTATCCGCGCATGTATTTTGCCTGCCTTTATTTAATTTCCGTCCGCGTGTCGTCCGTCCAGTTTATTTCGCTTTTATAATTTAAGTAATCATTCTTTATTTCGCCGGCAGAAATGGATTTTGATCGAATCGTACCGCGCTTTATTACATTCCCATTCTCGTGAATTTGCAACAAACTGTTTCGTTAATATCCGCGACCGTCATATGTACACGGACTGCATATTAATTTATCGAAAACTTTCAATAGACAGCAGTTTGCGCCTTCAATATTATAGCAATAATATTAAACGAATCACAATTTGTATAATATTAAACAAACAGCGATTTACGTACTTGTTTGCATTCACGGAAAATGTAATATGTGAATATTACTCCCCTAAAAGCAGTTTGAGATATCAAAAATTCTGTCTGGATCTGTACGCGACATGTTTCATGTAAAAATTTAAAAGATCACATGCGGATTCTCTATACCGGGAACCGAAAACGAAAAATATTTCATTTGCTTTCAGTCGGTATAAAAGCAAAAATATTTTATTTGCATTTCTCCTTTGCCAAATAAATCAGATATAGACCGTATAGTGAGTTTTTTTGGAATTGAAATGAAAAATCAATTATGAAACGGATCCTCTGGTATTCAATTAAATTTCGATACGAGCGGAATTTTAAATAGCTGGTTAAATAATTATTTTACCCATGAATACATCCTCTCCCCCTATTTATCTGTATATACAAGCATGCATATTTTAAATATCATTATCCAAATGTTTCTGTTTAGACCCGGACTGACAAAGTAGTTTTCTTCTTTTTTATTTTTTTTTTAAGCTTCTCGCTTTTAGGATTTTCGCATCTCTTGAAAATGTCTAAAAACGAGAAACGCAAACGACATACACTCAGCTTCCATTAAACTTTTGTCTAATGAAAGTCTCAGCGCTTAATGAATAATATTAACATATTCTCATTTCGTAAGCCGATCCAATGTGCATCAGCGTTTACATGCCGTTACTACGTGCTGCATGCCGTCAGCAAATTCCAATGTAACAATGGCTCGACGGTTGAATGCTGTCGGCAGGCCACAAAATGTCAAAAATTCTGAAAATCCAAAATGTCAAAGTGGAAATACTCGAAATTGATATAAATACGTGTAGTAGTGGCTAAAAATAGAGACGGCTGTCTAATTTCTAAAAAAAACCTGGCCGCGTGTCGTTCGTAGAATGATCAAAAAGAACGCGAAAAAATAGAGATACGCGCTTTCGAAAATCCGGGGCCGAGATCAATTTGGGAAACAGTGCCCGCGAGGAGCATCCCTGTCATTCCCGAGGGAGACAGTGAAAGGCCGGCAGATCAGGCCAAGAGTGTCACCAATCACCGATCGGAATTTGTAAGAGGCGACAGCTCGATTTTACATGGAGCATAAATGCGTTTTTACAATCGTCGAATAATCCAGATTTATTTTTTGTACATAGTATATGATTTATTCGACGCAATATGGTCTTTTGACTATTTTTTTCAATTACCATTATGAATTTTATCGAAAATAAAAGTTTAATCCTTAATATGACTTTGTTTTCAGTACGGTACTCGCTTTATTTCAATTCGCAAAATTATTTCAAAAAATTCGTACAAATTCATGCACTTCCATTTATTTCACAATATTCTGTAAATCTTTGGGACCCGATAAAATCCTCAGGATGATACTTTACAATTAAAATGATGATATATTCCGAATATTCTGAAGTCAAATAATAATCCAACCTAAAGTTTTTTCCACGACGTAACTTTTTTAAATTAGGGCGATCTTATGTAAGCCTTTTTATAATGAGGATGCTTAAAGCGGATTACACTGTGGATAATACTGATTGCTCGGGTCGACGGGGGTCGACTGTTGCGAGGTGGTGGAAAACTCGCTTAAAGATGCCATTATACACCAGGGTTAAGTTTATTTTCTCGCCAATTATTTAAACAGGAGGATGCTTTCGCGTCTTAATTTTCGCTCGTAATTAGGACATACAATATCACGCTATTACGACATTGCAACAAAGTCCTCTGGGCACCGTCGATGTCCAGGCAAAATCAATTGTGCCAATGAGACAGCAGTAGATTGCGCGTTTACCGATATTTATGCTACACAGTGCATATCTCAACATGCATAATTCTCCCCGCGAACGGCGGGGGTTAACCAGGTCGTAGCGATGGAAGGAATGCGTGCGACGAGACCGGCGGAAAATATGGGGCCAGTAGGAAATACTGCATGTCAAATTTTTCACTCGGGATATCGACGCAAGATTGGCTAGTGCGGATGCGGCAGCGGGATAGAAAGGCGAATGACGAGACGGAACAAGTACACGAAAGGAAATCTCGGTGCGCGCGAGACGGAAGCTTATGGGATCGAGAGCTACGAAACGGATAGATTTGCAGGGAAGAAAGTCAAATTCCGGGAAATAGACTAAGAAAGTGACAGAAAAAGGACGGAAAAAGAACCTGGACCTGTAGGTGAGGACTGCAAAAATCGAATTGCGAGAGGAAGAGTTCTCCTCAAAGAGAATGGGAACGCGAAAGGGAAAAGGTGGCCGGCGGAAAGGAAGAAAGGTAAATTCGTTCGCGGAGAAAAACTAAACGGAGAAATTGCGAGCAGAGAGCGTAAAGAAAGAGAATAAGAATAATTAAATTTACAAAGCGATACTAATTGTAGATTTCAGTAAGTTGCTTGCCTTAGGGAGCAAATAATAAATAAATCGCAGCGCATAAAAGCGCGTTGAGAATTTAGCGGAGGAAACGTGACAATTTCCGACGAACCGTGATAATTAAATTAGACGTTATTACACATTTATCTCGGCGACTGTTTTGTTGAATTGCGAAGAAATATCGATGAAGCGAACCAAGAACGGATAATAACGAGGAGAGCGGAGAGATGCAGCGCCCGATATTGGTGAGGAACATTACGAAATCGGAGATACCGCGAGGACGGCGAGGGAGTTAATGCGATGAACTGTCGGTGGAGTTTGAAAGTAAGAATATAAGACCTAAGTGGAGAAGCCCGCAAGGTACAGAGACAGACACGGTCGTAGAAATAGATGTTGTATAATGCGACCAGGATCGGCAAAGCACACTAGAAAAACTTTACGCGGTAAAGCGAGAGAGAGAGAGAGAGAGAGAGAGAGAGAGAGAGAGAGAGAGGAGGAGAGTAGAGAGACGACGAGACGACGAGAGAGAGTAGTACGTAGTACGTAGTAGTACGTACGTACGTAGTACGTAACGTAACGTAAGTTAACGGTAAGTAAGTAGTTAGTTACGTACGTACGTACGTAGTAACGTTAACGTACGTTACGTACGTACGAGTACGTACGTAACGTACGTACGTACGTACTAGTTACGTACGTTAACGTAACCGTTACGTACGTTACGTACGTACGTTACCGTTACGTACCGTTACGTTAACGTTTAACGTTTTAACGTTTAACGTTAACGTACGTTAACGTAACGTTACGTTACGTTACCGTTACGTTACGTTCGTTACGTTACCGTACCGTTAACGTTAACGTTAACGTTACGTTACTTACTTACTTACGTTAACTTATTAACGTTTACGTTACGTTAACGTACGTTACTTACGTTACGTTACGTTACCTTTAAACCGTTTAAACCGTTAAACGTTAACCGTTACGTTACGTACGTACGTACGTTAACTTTACGTTTACTTTACGTTAGTTTACGTTACGTTACGTTTACGTTTACGTTTACTTTAACGTTTAACGTTTAACGTTAACGTTAACGTTAACGTTAACTTAACGGTTAACCTTAACGTTAACGTTAACGTTAACCGTTTAAACGTTAACGTTAACGTTAACCGTTAACGTTAACGTTAACTTACGTTAACTTACGTTAACTTACCTTACTTAACTTACTTACTTACTTACTTCTCTCTCTCTCTCTTCTCTCTCTCTCTCTCTCTCTCTCTCTCTCTATATCTCTCACTCTTTTTCTGTCTCCTCTTTTTCTTTCTCCCGTGCAAACTTAGAATCTTAGATTTAAAAACTTGCTTAAAACGGGTCGCATGATAGAGTGAAGACGAAGTGGATCGAGTGTGAGCATAAGTTGAAGAATGAGAGAAGACAAAGAATTATGGTAGCGGGAAGAACAGTAGATTTAAGTTACCGTCTTTCGCGCGATCTGGTTAGAGATGACGATTGAAAGTTAATCCACCGGAAATTCTTTGTCTCCGTACTTTCATTTTCGTTAAATGAACCGCGCTTGATGATAACGTACCTCTTGATCGTGAGTCCAGTAAATGGTCAAGGGTGGTTCCGGGCTGTGGCGCACGATACAGGTCAAGTTCATAGTGCTATCCTTGTCTATGTACATTTCCGGCCCTCCGACGATTAACGTTACGGGCTCTAGGGATAAGAATAAAAAGATGTATATACATGTACCACTAAAGTCTTATTAAAAGATCGTTAATCATCGAGAAAGAAAAATCTGATCAGATACCTTGTAAGAGAAGGGATCATCAATATTGGTTCACAAAAAGGCATCGTTACCTCAATGGATAGTACAAAGTTTTCTGTTTAAATCTTTACAAGGTACGATGGAAATTTAATCAGCATCTTAATTTTAAATTTTATTTTTTATTACTTTAGATTATTTTAGAGTAAAAAATAAAAATATCCCCTTAAACAATAAAAAATATTTGTGTTGTTATTTTAAGAGGTAAAAATTTTATATTAAAACAGTAGTTTATAATAAAATTTTTATATATTTTATTTATATATTTTATATTTTCTTATTCAATAATTGTAAAAAATATATGTAAAAAGTATTTTAAATTTTATATTTTCATAAAATTTTATAACTAATGAAAATTATTATTTATTTGACGATGCGAAAAATATCATAAAGGAAAAAGCTAATATTCAAAGTAAAAATGATATTATATATATTCATAGAGAATTTAATTCTTTAAATTAAATTTATTATTTTATAACCCATTATATTTTCTGTGTAATAATTTTGATAAAATTAAATTAATCACCATTTGAATAATAAGCTGATAAAAGCTAGATAATGAGTTAAAATAAGCGAAGAAAAAGTAAAAATTATGATACATACATATTGTACATATTATAAATTTTTGTACATATACATATTGCGCACTTGTTAATTAATTTTCTTTTGCTTAAATTTGTTCTCATCTCGGTTTTATTTAATTTTGGATTATGCTGAAATATTATTTGATGTATGGAATTTAACGGGAAAATAGTAATGCTTTTTAACAAATAAAAGCTTATAACGATTAGGATAAATTGAGAAGCCATGTAATTAATAACAAACCGTAATTATATTAAACGCATTACATTTGATGTTTGTTTGTTTGTTTATTATTTGCTGTTACTAGGAACATCGATATCATCGATCATATAAAATAAACAAGCATATAATATCAGATGTCCGAAACGATAAACATTAACAAATGGATTACTATTAATGCGTTTTTAACGTGAAAAGTTAATATCTAGATCTCCATTTATTAACTTTATCCATTTTCATTTCTTTTCCTGTTCTTATTTTTTTTTTTTTTTTTAGCAAGTGGGTTAAATGCTGCAATCAAGCAAAAGAGAATTTACTATAATAATCAACTTTCATCTGAGATAGTTTCCACATAGTATTGAAAACCGTCAGTTAATTTATTATATGAATTTCAGAATGGGAGAGAGGACTGATATTAACGCCAGATTGTTAATGTCAAGGTAATATTAAGTTTAGAGTCACGAAGCTGATTAAAGTTACTATCCATAGAACGAGCGAGCATGCATAATGACAGAAATTTATAATTCGCCAAGTTCGCGGAGATTGCAGTCGGTCTAAGGATACGCGCGCAAACTTCGACGTGCCTCATAAAAATCCAAAGATAGATAGGGAAGTCGATGTTCCAATTTCGTAGAAAAAAAGAAAAGAAAGAAAAAAAAAGAACCCTATCTCCCTGATAATTTAATTTTGCCGGATGAATTCGCCGATAATGCGACGGAGCGACGCGGAGCAGAAATCGCGGATCGAGCGGGGCGATAACAAAACACTGTGGTCGCGTGTCCCATTGAGAAGCCTCCACGTGAATGATTAAGTCATACGGTAAATCAACGGGCCCGTGGCGCGGCAAATGCCATGTGGGTATCGCGATGCACGTGCGGTGCACATTAAGCTTCCGGCGGCAAATAGATATAGCGTGAGCTTCCACGTCGCGAGACGAAATCAGCGCCGAACCGCGCGAATGAAAAACGAGAAGAATCTCGAGGAGCGAGACCCCGGGAGGAGGAGCGGAAGAGAGAGAGAGAGAGAGAGAGAGAGACGAGAGAGAGAGCCGTAGAGAGAGAGAGAGAAAGCAAGAACTAACCGACAACAGAGAGGTGCATGGAATGACCTATGGGCGGCGTCGTGGACACTTGACACTCGTATGTGCCAGAATCCCGTTGTTGAGGGTATTTCACTTGTAGCGTCCAGTCCTCCGTGTGAGGAAAATGCGACGCGATGAATCTCTGGTCCGACGTGTACGTCTCGACGCCCACGGTGAGAAGATGGATATCTCTGTGTCTCACCCATGACACCTGGAAAAGAAAAGGAGTAAAAGAAGCGCCCGCGGCCCGTCGTCGTCCTCTCCGTCCTGTCCGCGGAGCATCCGGGCAGAGAATCCCTGGAATGAGTCGTCCGCAGGTTCGATCAAGGGATTGCGGTCAGTATAATTTAAGCGCCACTTCGAATCCCGATACCGCGGACGTGTAAAAATGATCTCCGCCGCCCATCTGATAATGGAACGAGCCATAACGTTCATTTTTCCATATCCGCGTTCCACATTCGTCTTCCAAAATCGATATCGGTATCGGTATCAATTTCTGATTTCGATCTCGTAATTCCATTTTTTTTTCTTTCCTCTAATATCTCTCCCCCTCCGATAACATTTGACAGATCAATGTCTTAGCCGTGGCGGAAAAGTCGATCGACGTGATTGATTTACGTAAACGCGGCGTGCGTTTGAACATATTATATTATAGCTCGCATCTAAAATGCCGGACACGTAGGACAAAAATGCGTATTCCCCCATAAAAACCGCTTCATTGAGTTTTGCAGGCGTGCTCGGCGTACGGGAGTCGATATGAAAAGGAGATAAAGATGCAGATACAAAAACTATAAAGAGGCCTTTGTTCATATGACGGCTGGCTGCGATCTAGTGCTAATGAAAACCGCATATCCGACTTTTTTAATAGAAAGAACGAAATAACTTGTACAATTGCGTTTTGATTCTGCGAAAATCCCGCCGCTAATAAATGCAAAATCGTCGAAATGATTTGCGAGGTTGTACAATCGTGCGTTTCGAGAGGCGACGCAATTAGGAAAACATAATTAAACATTGAAGTCCAATTTGGCCAAAAAGGTATGAAATTATAGAAAACACGACTGGGAAATTATCTCCGATGGAAACATTAAAAGATATCATTTGAACCAATAAAAATGCAAAAGTTTCATATTTCGCAAAATAATGGACTATTTTTGAAAATGTTTTCTCGTGAAACGATACGCAAATTCTTTTTTTTTTTTTTTTTCAGATATACGCTACCATTGCGAAGGCAAAGGGAAATATTGTTCGCGGTACATATTTATACTTTCGAATATGGATATAGGCCGAAGTAATCATATTGCATAGCTCGGCTCACCGGCTGGGCCGTAATTAAAATAGTTTAGCGCGCCCTTTGTCGTTCCGCTTCAATGATATGGATTTGCTCGTGAGCTTGTCGACCTATATTTACCTTCCGCGTGCAGTAACATTAGAAATCTCAGGATTGTACGCGAAATACAGGAGGCGCAATTTGTATATGCACGCCACGACTCCGCGAGGCAGGAACGCGCTTGTAAAGTATGTTTTCCGTGCACCAAAGTGGAAATGTCGATTTATCAGTTTACGTCAAATTTCTAACGTTCTCGAATACTTTAGCTGGTCATCGGTAAAAATCCGCACTTTCCTCGATAAAATCCGCACTACCCCTCCCTTCACCACAACGTGATTATCGCGTACAATTCACTGCTATTCGCGAAAAGTCACGCGACTAAAGAGTCTTAAGCTTTCAAAAATCCATTTTGAGAATGTCAATACGTACATTCGCTTCCAATATAACAGTGTCCGTAAGTGCACAATTTTCCGATAGCGACATGTATTGAACGTTCTTTTTTGACGTATTAACATAATAATGTAATAGTAATAATAACAAAAACATAACAATAGTAATAATTATTATAGTAATAATAATAATAATAATAATAATAATAATATGTGACGATAATAATACTAACATGTAACGATAATAATAATATATCATAATGTATAAAAGTATAAATTTTTAAGGAGAATACGACTCATCTAAATTTTAACGAATAATAGGCCGAAAGTAAAACGCGATATTCACGGTGATATTAGAAAAAATTTTGCCATAGATAATTTTAAGCGTGAAAATTTTCGCAATACGTCGTGCATTAATCCTTCATTTGAAATAATAAAATGTTCACTGAAATTAATGTAATTCCATAGGAATGTGAAATATGTACATCGTTTTATAAAAAAAATAATTCGGCACGCAGCAGCGAATTCTACCATTGAAATATAAAAAAAAGAAAAATATTTCCTTCATATTTAATTCTGTGAAAAGAATTTTTGCGATATGATCTGCGTATTAATTCGTCACACGAAATAATAAGTTTTCCATGAAAATTAATGTTCCTCGTACGAGGCCGTATGAGGCCGCGGAGGGTGGAAAAATTTACATAGCTCTGTGAAAACGTAATTCAACTACTAACGCGTGGACGCAGCAAAGAGACGGATTGTGCTGGTGAAAATAATAAAAAAAAAAAAAAAAAAACAAAAAAAACGGTGTTAACGAAATAGGGACGAGCGGCGCGAGTAAAAACTCAGACGCGAAAGATGCCCGAGGATGACGTGCTGTTCTTTCTCGCGAAAATCTCTCTCCGATGCGCGAGTCGGACCCGGCGAAAAAAGGAGGAGCTGTGGCAGTCCCTTGTCTATTCTATCGCGGTGTTCTTTGTGTAAGTGTCTCATGATGGGCCAACTTTATTATACATGTGACGAAAAACAACGTACGGCACGGGGATATGAAACTGCGCTGAGTCGAGTTTTGCAACTAATCGAGTTTCAGAGCTCGTATAAGTTTCGCCACATCGATAGTCACGCGCTTTCCTCTCGACTCTTTCTTTATAATTTATTCATAAACTTGCTCTATAAACGGCATCGCGATACATTACTCTTTTTTCGCTATGATAACTTCAACCTTTTCGCGCTCGTGCGCTTCGTATGTTTTATCGGGTCTAAAGAGCTGGCATAAGAACTTTCGACGGATATATCAATCAATACATGTATGCATGTGAGGTATAAGCCGCGTATCTAATAAACAGGCTTTTAATATCGTATCTAAAGCTGCCGTGTGTTCCCGAGTCGATCCATTTCTGGTAAAAGTTTCCGGCGCAAAAGTATCGCCGGCGAAAAATGTTTTTAACACTGACAGCCGATTTCGTACGATATATCGGAGATAAAAGTGGCACTCACAGGCTACAATGCATAATACGGGACGAAAATTGTACATTTCCCTCGCTATTGAATAGACTTATTTCCGCGCACTAAAGAGATATTTTCTTGAAACTTTATCGCTCAAAATTTTCCTCTTAAAGAGCTTAAAATAAACTCTCCAAGGGAGCTGTCTTTGCCGTTACTTATTTGTGCCCTACGCCAGTATTACTAAAATCGTATTATATTAAACTTTATTGGTTATTACAATAAGCGAGCTAACGTTATATTAGAATGTAAAACTACATTTACTATGTAAAATGGCAGCTCGATAGTTATTAAGGTATTATCAGGTATTATGTTACATCTCTTTCACCCTTACTTTTTGCACAATTTAATTTGGAGGAAATACTATTAATTCAGACGATTAAGCCGTGCCTTTAAATTTAAATAAATTTCATCTACACGGTTTATTTGCAAATTTGGTCAGATACAAATTTGAAAATAATATTATTGGGCCATCAAAATTATTACATAAAATAGTTTAAACATAACGATAGTAATAATGTAAAATTTTTAATATTGGAGAAACCAATTTAAAGACCTCACGTAGTTATTTTGATGGCTCACCAAGATTATTTTCCATTAGAAGTACATAAAAAAATGGTATAAGTTTATGGTATAAAGTTCAAAAAATACAGTTGAATTTCCTGCAAAGAGTTATTTTTCGCAGTAGAGGAAAAAAGAATGTCCCATACGTACCGTTCGATCCCCTAAATTTCGTACTCGACAATTCAGCGTGGCCGTTTTGCCAACGAGGGCTGTCACGTTACGAGAGGCCGAGACGTCAAAGTACGGCACTCGATCGAGCGGCTCCGATGCACGATTCTCGTGTATCCTGAAATCGGCCGTGCAACGGGTAGGTCCTTGCACTTTAAACACAAATACAACGTTGTATCTTAGCAGGGTTGACTGAGGGTGCCGTTTAATGCGACGATCGCGCGGGGTGTAATTTACTCCGCCCCGAAAAGATCGAGACGATACATTATCACCGTTCCGTCCGGCTGCGTCGCAATTACTGATAAAAACTTTTGCTTTCCAGTCAATTAGGCGAATTAACTTTGGAGGATTCAAGATTATTGCACTATGCGTCTCGGTAATATTCAGAAGTAGCATTCAAAAAAATAATTTCCCAGGTAAATGTCTCGAGTGACGCTTTACTTAATTTTAAGTCTTTACTCTTTAATTTTTTACATCTTTTTTAAATATTAATTTTTTAGATATGTTATCTTACATTTATTATCTGTGAATCATCGTATCGCTCGAGTCGTTGTATGTAATGATAAATGAAAATATCTTAAAGATAGTATTAAAGTGGCATAAAGTGCATCTCGCAAAGTAGTTTGGCCATAGAGAAAGAGTTGTTGTTATTGCTGAATGTTAACAGCGTTTTTTAATTTTTATTACCCACTCTATATTGCGAAATGGTGTAAAATTATCCGTGCAGTGCACGGATGTGTAAATTACTCATGTTTTGCATAACAGTTTTGCACATTACAGAATAATTTTTTACAAATGTTTCAGATGACTCAATAAAAACTAGCGATAAGTTTAATTTATTTTTAAGTTTTCCTCTTTTCTTTGATAAGCGTTTTAAAATAAAATCAGATAAAATTACAAAATGAAGCTATAAAAATAAGATAAAGCTTATTTTTTTATCAGATATCTCTTTTATATCTTTTTTGCACTATCAGAAATTTTTTTGTACGCAAAGATCTTTTCTTGGAACCAAAGAAAAGCTATTAGAAGCTGCAATATCGCACCAGTTGAAAAAAAGGAGAACATCTTCTTTAAAAGCTAGAAAGGGAACAATTTATTAGAGATAGGAAATGTTCATTTGGAATATCTACTTCCTATGGTCAACATTACTGGTGCATTAGAGAATGGCATGTTCGTGATATTTTCATCTATTTCTTCCTATAAACTCGATATTAATCATTAGTAACAAATTGGCAGACAATACTATGTCTTGTTAAATTTAAAGTCTCTTCTTATTGAAAATGTCGAAGATTATTATGTCTTCTACAATTTCTCGCAAACAAAACCAGAAAAAAGTTCAAATCTTTGGAAAAAAAAGATTTAAATTGTACGAGGAATAATGTCCCATCAGCTGTTTGCGTCTCCGAGATTTAAATCGTGCAAAACCTTTCATTTACATAATTCAAGAACTTCTGGTTTCTTCATCGCGATGTTTTATAATCAATTTGGTTTTATCTCGTTTGCCTCTTCGAATTCATATTTCGTATTCAAATTTCCATAAAAAGCTTCATACTTTCTATCAAAAAAACACGCTGTCTGCCATGCTTTGTATTTTAAGCTTTCCTTGAGTCCGCCGCGCGACACGGGGAAATTAAAAAAAAATTTATAAAATTTATAAAAATAATTCACGTATGTATTCTGAACGTTAATGCATATTTGTTTTTCCTTGAACATGCTCTCGGTACTTTGCACATCGGATCGTTACATTCAACATTTGTCTGTAAATACAATTGTATTCCGATTCAACATACCATGTAGCACAACGTTCTATGCATTAGATTCATAAATAGTTATAAAATAATCGTAAATTGACATAAAGGGTTAACTCTCCATTACTCGTTTATCAAGTTCCCCAACAACTCTAAATCGTTCATCGTTCACGGGAGAGTTCGTGGAACTCCGGTCGGACGTTTTCCGTAAATACATAGTCGTTTACACGCCAGGAGCGCCAACTTGAGAATGAGTACATCTCCCGTAACATTAATAGTGAAAATGTGTAACTGCGCGAAGGGCTCCTCTAATGAGTAACAAACGACGCATGTGGAAAACGAGATGTATGGGGATGCGGCATGGGGGATGCACGCTTTCTTGCGACAAACGGAGGGAAATTCCGGGATATCTCTCGCGATATTGGCGACGCGGCTTTCGAATCCGATAAGATCGGTCATCATCGAAAAATAGTACGTTAAAAATAAATGGCGGCTCCAAAATGACTTTAAAGGGATGCAGGCAGTTGTGCGAGTAAATATTTACTTCTCTGCACTTCTGTGGGATTTGCGCGGCCCCGCATAGCCCACGTTAAAATACATATCAGGATTTTCAGCCCCGCGGCTGTTTCCTTCAGGCATCGTCAGTTACTTTTTCACGGTAACGTACAGTGGATTTAATTTCTTTGCGTGTTTCTTATTACATCGTTATATAAATTCAGTTGCTTCTGTAGCGGCAGCAATTAATTCGAGCGTTCAGTCAGTTTCGCAATCTCGAAGCGCGATCTTAATTTCATCTTGATCCCGGACTAAAAGCCATCAATGTTAGATACAAGAACGTTTACCCCATCTCAAAGAATATCCCAACTTGGTCTGATTATAATGGTCTTGGGAAAAATCTTACCCTTCCAACTTTTTCTTCATTTTAACAATGTAACATGACTCCCGCTCGTGGAAAATAATTTACAATTTCATTTTAAGTTCAGTGTTTTCATGCGAAAAATTGCCTTATAATAAACACACTGTATCTTTTCTATATTTTTTTATATATATTCTATGGTCCTTTTCCATTTTTTTTTACAGCTTTTTTCCCTCCAAGTTTATCAAGCGCAATAAATATTTACCGTTTTGTTAATGGAAAAAAGTGAATAAAAGAATATCGCATTTTATATTTGTAAATGTTCGAAAATTGTTAATTTTTTACATGATACTAGCCACTAGCGTGAAAAATAGAAAAACAAGAGTTATATATAAATACAAATATTTTTGTGAAAGTGCAAACTCGTCAAATTAATGGCATTCGCGGGCCGAAATAAAATTTCTATCTAAAGTGTAAAAATTCAATATAACGGTCTCCATGGTACCGCTCACCGTTGAATGAACAGTAAGGCCGAGTTAAGCTAAAAGCCAAAATCATTAAAACTACTGAAGCGTTAGAAATAAAATTTTACGGCCTTCATTTTACTAATATAATCTTGCAGAAAATAGAAATGAGAGCACATATGTACATATATAAATTTCAATTAACATGCTACATTTTTTTCCAACGCACGAGATAAACATAACTGGAATAATTATTTTATATTTATAAATGGATTTAAAGATAAAATGTGATATTTGCTGAAAGAAAATATTTGAAAATGCATTATTTATCACATACGGTAGAAAAATCTAAGCTAACATGTGAGTCCGCATAATGGATTTTTACTGACCATGGTTGTATCATTTACTAGCAGTATTATATCTCGTCTCATTACATTACAGTACATGGGACTTTCAGGTTAATTGCTGCATAAACCCGTATTTTGGACAAGGCTAATGTTAATACTAAGTTATTACGAAGTTGAGACTAAGTTTGGGAGCTACCTAAACCCACTGTAATATACCGTCGGCCTTCTCCGTCCGGGCTAAGTACATAACATTACATCGCGCGGTTTCTCACGAAAGGGGACGATATTCAACGCGTATCGCGAAACGCAAAAAGACGGTTTACACCCCGTCCGATCCGTATGTGCATCACGTAATGTCATTAAACTGCTTTGAAAAGAAGAAGAGAAGAGTTAGTGCTCGTGTGCTCACCAGAATCGGAAATCTATTCCATCGCATCTAGTGTTAATCGATTCGAAAACATCTCGAAGCAAATACGATAGACGCAACGGTCAAGGACCGTTTGTCGGGTGAATGACCATCCACGTTTATTTTTGCGCTTTGAGATATAATTGCATTAAAAAGAAATATATATATATATATTATATATATATATATATATATATATATATA